TGTTTTGAACAACTATAACAACGAGCTACAATAACAACCCTCGGCACAATTAAAATCTAAGATATATTCATCACAACAAAGAACAATAGCAATGAGCATCACAATTATCACACATAGGTGCGACTAAAATCGAAGATCCAACACAGACACAGAACAATAGGATTTCATGGGGATCAATAATTATAATAGATAATTACTTCGGCACATGGCATTATGAGAAATATTGCAGCCAGCTGAGGCCATAGGCCGAAACTGGCTGCAATATTTCTCATAATGCCATATGCCTCAGTAATTATCCATTAACTAGCACCTGACAACCCCTTGACTCTGATGATGACTTCTGCTCATGTTGTTGGTGGCAACATTCCTTTTAATGATTTTCTCACTCAGGCAATCAAATTACAAAATCAAAAAAATCCCAGTATTAAGCTAGTTATCTCTGTCAGAAAATTTACAAATGGACATCAAGAATTACATACTAATTGTTTCAAATTGAAAGATTATAGTTGACCTATCCTTTATCAATTCACCTTGCTGAATACACATGCCACATGCATACTTTGAGGACCAAACAAAAAACTGTATTTATTATCTATTATTCATAACTATGCAGTTCTTCCAATAAATATGTTGAAGACTTAAAAATACTTGATTCGTACATTTTTAATAAACTTTTAAAATGTTTTTAATTGTTTTGTACTGTTTCTATTCTTAATCTAGTTTTAACTCATTTACCATTTGAAGTTTTTATTCAATTGATGTTAATTGTTGTATATGCAGGGCCCCACCAAAGAGTACCTTCAGTGAAGTGAGCTCCCTTTTAAAATATTGTTATAATTGATAAGTAGAGTGAAAAAAAAAAAAAAACTTACCTTTCAAGAACAGGGTGAATAATATCATAAGGTACTCCACCAGTGTCACTGAGAGCTGGGGTTAAATATGAAAAAACAAGAATGATAACAACATTTCATTTATGCAGCTGCCATGAAAGCTACAGATGGGTATACAGCAAGAGTTACACTCTGGCTGCCATAATCTGTTATACAGAGGCGGATCCGGTAATTTTTGATTGGGGGCGTCCAAACTTTGGTTCAGAAAGGACTGTTGGACTCTTTGAGGCAAATTACTTCTCCCCCACACCCCCTCCCACCAGTCGCGGTTGCACGTTATAATTCCTTTGCC